GGGGGGGGGGGACACTATAACATGGATCAGCAATAATTAACTCTGAAAGACTCCCTGTGTGTGTGTTTAAAAATACTTTCTGGGATTATATTTCATGCATACTGATGAGGCCAAATTGTTTTCTCACTCTCTCGTAACTTTTTGGAAATGAATTTGTCCCCTAAATGTGGGTTTACAACTTGAGTTACAGTTTTAAATTCTTTAATGTTGATAAAAGCAAATGCATGACTTGTGCTAATTCTCCATATTTATTTTATCTGCATAACAACTATTTAGTTATTTGTCAAAATATTAACTGTAACAAATACTTGAAAGGGAGTTTGTTCAGTACATTGTGCTAAAATTTAAAGAGTAGTTATTATTGGGTATTTTTATGTATTGAACTGTGGATTGCATGACGCTTGTCATTATGAAGAAAGTGATATTTTTCTTTGCTTCAATCTGTTACTGATTTGTTTAGTTTGCAACTTGGGGTTTCAAAGTGCACCTCCTCATTTGTACTAGACCTTTGTCTTTAAGATAGTGCACTTAAGCATGTGGCTCACAAGAACTGCTGATAGCTGCTATACTTCTACTTGAACCTTGCCAGAGAAAAGGCAAGCTCAGTGTCTAGCAGCCTTCTAAACTGTAACCAAAGCAAGACCTAAAAATCTCTGGGAGGAGATTTAAACTACTCAAAGTGGGCTGAATTCAAGGCTCAGCAAGTGTAAACCAAACCAGCAAGGCAGTTAAGCATGCACATAGTCTCATTTTGCCTTCAGTGAGGTTACTTCATATGCTTCAGTGCTTCACCAGACCAAGTCACAGGGCTTAGCACTCTTTCAGTTTGCAGCTCAGTGTGAGATTATTACAAGATCCAGCTCTTATTTCTATTTGCCTTTACCTTGTTTTCACTCTTTACTTTAGTGATTGCAGCATCCCAGCTGCATGTTGGGACACTGCCTGGACTCCCAGCTGGCAGCAGCAGCAGCTATCCAGAGCCGGGGCAGGCTGCAGACAGCTGCACTGGGCCCCACAACTCCAGCATCAGCTCTGTGCTGGCGGTGACGGTGCACGCACCTCGAGGCAGATGGCATGGAGCTGGTGTTGGAGTTGTGGAGCCTGGTGCATCTGCTTACAGCCTGCTTGCTGCAGCTTCCCAGAGCCCAGGCTGACTGTAAATCACTGTACTGGGCTCTGGAGCCCAGTCACAAGTTCTGTGCCGGGAGCTGGGGAGAGATTGGGGCTGTGCTGCCTGGGGCCCCTCCCCCACTGCCTCCTCTGACCCATGGGTGCATGCACCAGTTCAGAGCTGATGTCTGGGCTGCAGAGCCCAGCACGGCTGTTTGGAGCCTCCTGGCTGCAGCCGGCCCCAGCTTTGGGGAGCTGCTGCTAGCTTTGAGCCCAGGCTGGGGGCAAGGGGCAGCAAGGATGGGGGCAGGGGCTTGTGTGGGGGGGGGG